CTCAAGTGGTAGAGCGCTAGCCTTGAGCTGAGCTGAAGAGCTGAGGGACAGCACCCAGGCCCAGGAGTTCAAGTCCCAACCAACACACACACACACACACACACTTCAAGCCCCATAACCACCACACACACACACACACACACACACACACACACATGTTCAAGCCCCATAACACACACACACAAACTTCTGCTGGGTGCCGGTGGCTCACACCTGTAATCCCAGAAACTCAAAACTGAGATCCGAGGATCAAGATTCAAAGCCAGCCTGGGCAGAAAAGTCTATGCAACGCTTATCTCCAATAAAATACTCAGAGAAAGCCAGAAATAGTACGATGGCTCAAGTGGTAAAGCACTAGCCTTGAGCACAAAGAGGCTCAGGAACAGCACCTAGACCCTGAGTTCAAGCCCCCAGACTGGCATGTGCGCGCGCACATGCCTGCACGCAGACACACACACACACACACAATTAGCTTCTAAGTAACAGTGTTTGAAGAAACTTCTATTATCTCAGCATTCAGAAGCAAGAAAGATATATGAGTAAAATTGATAGTAATACAAAGATCTCCTTTACCATGGATAAAATACACTGGACCACATAATTTAGGCTGAGGCCAAGAGGGTTCTCTAATATTAGACCCCATAATTATCTAACCTAGTCACAGGCAGCATGAGACAATTACTGTCCTCTCTACTATTATAAAAAAAAAGGGGGGGGGGGAGTGCCAGTGGCTCAAGCCTGTAATTCTAGCTACTCCGGAGGCTGACTCAGGATCACAGTTCAAAACCAGCCCGGGAAGCCAAGTCCATGAGACTTTTATCTCCAATAAACTACTTAGAAAAAAAAGCCAGAAGTGGCACTGTGGCTTAAGTGGTAGAGCACTAGACTTGAGCACAAAGAGGCTCAAGAGTCAGTACCCAAGCCCAGAGTCCAAGCCCCAGGACAGAGCAAACAGACTTTCAGAAAAAAATGGTCTCAATTATACTTGATCAATTCCCTCTGACAAATCAAGCTTTAAAAAAATTCTTAAAACAGCAAATCAGGCTTGGAGCATGGATCAAACAGCAGAGCAGGCCTAAGGTGCAATCTTTAATAGAGCGAATAAAAAGCAAGAAATATACAACAGGTACAAATCAGGCTTTAAAAAAAAATTCTTAAAACATCAAGAAATCAGGCTTGAAGCATGGGTCAAACAGCAGAGCAGGCTTAAGGTGCAATCTTTAATAGAGGGAATAAAAAGCAAGAAATATACTCATCATCACAAACTATAAAACTGTTTTAGTTAAGTGCAAACTTTATCTTAATCACACATGTAATAAAATAGACTCAAACATCAATAGAAGTCAAAGCCACAGAAGACTCGAATACTCAGATACTGTATCTTAAATATCCATTAAAAATTGGAGATTTCATGTTTTAGAAATCCAATTAAGTCTTTAAATTAGAAGTATGTAGAGCTTGAGTCCAGGAGACAGAAACTTCTTCCATATCAAATTAAGAAGATTTGTTGACAAAAAAAGAGGCAAAGTTGGGGTTATGAAGCTCAGTAGTAGAGCTCTAGATTCTGGTTCCACCCCCAGCACTGGGACAACAATGGTAATAGTATTAATAAATGAGGCGTCTCTTTTCTGAGAAGATTGGCATAGAACACAGCTAATCCAACTTATAATCATAATTACTTCTCACCTGGATAAGTACATTCTAGACAAACTATACTGCAGCATCACACTTATAAATAAATGTGGTTTTACTTTACTATTTATGTTAAGCCTGATTTTTTGTTACTGTTGGTCGTGGGGCTTGAACTCTGGGCCTGAGCGTTGTCCCTCAACTCTTCAGCTCAAGCTACCACTTGGGCTACAGCACTACCTCCAGTTTTATAGTGTTTTATTGGAGATAAGTTTCGATCCTCAGATCTCAGCCTCCTGAATAGCTAGGATTACAGGCATGAGCCACTGGTGCCTGGCAAGCTTGATTTTTTTTTTTTGCAGGGGAGGGGGAATTGGGTCGTGGGTCCTGAATTCTGGGCCTGGGCACTGTCCTTCAGCTCTTCAGTTCAAGGCTAGCACTCTACCACTTGAACCACAGCACCACTTCCGGCTCTTTTTTTCTTTTTGCTTATGTGGTGCTGAGGAATCGAACCCAGGGCCTCATGCATGCAAGGCAAGTGCTCTACTACTGAGCCACGTTCCCAGCCCAAGCCTGATTTTTATACACTTGCAAAACCTATGAAAATTTGGCCTAACAATGTTACAGCTTTAAAAGATTAGTTGAACTTAGTTTACCTAGGTTTCTTTAAAAAGTTATTTTAAAGATGGGTGCTGGTGGCTCATGTCTGTAATCCTAGCTACTCAGGAAGCTTAGATCTGCAGATGGTGGTTCAAAGCCAACCCAGTCAGAAATGTTCATGAGACTCTTATCTCCAATTAACACCCAGGAAGTGGTGCTGTGGCTCAGGTGGAAAAGTGCTAGCCTTGAGCTGAAGAGCTGAGGGACAGCGCCTAGGCCCAAAGATCAAGCCCCAGGACTGACCAAAGAAAAAAAAAGGAAATGTCCAATTAACACCCAAAAAGTGGGAAGCGGAGCTGTGCCTAAAGTGGTAAAGCACTAGCCTTGAGCACAAAGCACAGGGACAATGCCTAGGACCTGTAAAGCCCCAGGATCAGCGCTGGCGCACACGTGTGCACACACGGACATGAACAGTTAAAATGTTTTCTAAATATTAAGACATCTAAGAGGACTTTCAACTCAGGACAAGAAAATTATATACTAAAACCAAACAGTTTGAATTATTTGGCAAAGGAATTAATGACAAAAGTAGCTAGACTTGTGCAGAGGAAGAAAAATCTCCAGTGAGTGGATGAGAGCTGGTAGATTACAGTTCAAGGCCAGTCTAGGGAGTAAAGATGTCCAGATTCCATCTCCCTGGGGCTGGGAGGCTTGGCTCAGAGAAAAGATTCCATCTCCAAAATAACCAGCTTAGGGCTGGGAAGGTGGCTCAGTGGTAGAGCGCTTGCCTTGCATGCCTGAGGCCCTGGGTTCGATTCCTCAGCACCACATAAGCAAAAAGAAAAAAG